ACTATGAACAAGCATATCAATACGAGATTCCTTCACTTGGTTTGTACCTTCATACGTTATCTCAAGTTTGTACCAAATTTCTTTTGCCGAATCACAACTTGAAATTCTATTATACTCCTTAGAGTCTAATCCACAAATAAGGGTGAGTCTGGCTTTAGTATTGGCTTGCAATAATTTATGATCCCTCTCATCACATTCATCTTCAGTTTTAGGTACACTAATATTGTCTACTAATTTGGTAGGAATTTTTGAACTTTTGGTGACAATAATCCACATGGCATAATTAGTGATTTGTAGGTATAGGGTCATCTTATCATTCCAATGATTATAATTGTTTCCGTCCAACAATGGTGGCTTATTTGTGCTTGTCTTTCAGCTAAGGTTGCCATGGATCGAAACTGCCAGATGGTTAAATCTAAAACAAGAGTCTAGGCTCTGATAGCAATTGTTATCCAAAAGACAACCTAAGAGGGGGGTGAATTAGGTTTTTACAAATAAAAATAATAATACCCTAATAAAAATTATGACTAGCACGATAGATAAATATAGTTAATGAAATAATAATAATTAAAACAAGTGTTTTAACAATTATGTCAGTTAATAATTTTAGCACAGTGAAAATGTGAAATATAACTATGGCAATTTAAATAAAATAAAGAGATAAGGGAGAGAGAGGTAAACAAATTTATAGTGGTTTGACTTCAACTCGGCCTACGTCCACTCTTCAAGCTTCACTTGAAATTTTTCACTATACTTTAGCTTCACAGGGTGCTAACAACCTTTTCACAGATGCAGCAATCCTCCACAGATTTTACACAGACTTTTTAAGTCAATAACACTGAGTGTACTATACTCTTACAAGGTTGAAAAGAATGTGTTTTTGCTTTCACAGAAAGTTACAAAAATTATCTCTCAAAGATAGATGTAAAAATGAAACTCTGATTTTTCTATAAACCTCACACAGGAAAGATGGGTTTAAAGCTATACGTCTCAGTGTATAATTTCTGAAAGAGGATGTAAACAAAAATTGAAGAACACTTCTCAGAGAATTTTTCAGAGAATAGATGTGAGTGATTATAGATCAAATAATATTTTCTAGTTTTTTTTTTTTAACTAGTTTACATTAGAGACTTTGGTATATATAATAAAACTTATAGCCGTTTATAGCCGTTGTATTCATTTGAATATCTTTCACTCCATCATTACTAATTTGAATATCTTCCACTCCATCATTACTAATTTGAATATCTTTCACTTGAACATTTTGGCCTGCTGTTGTGCTGGGCTGTTTAAACCTCTGTTTTGGGCTGTTTAAACCTCTAGTTTGGGCATTATTTTTTGTTGAAATGAACTCATAATTTAAACAATTATTAAATACATTCAAATAATATTTAGGATAAAAGTTTAGGTGAGAAATAATGTGACAAAATAAATTTTGATTCTATTTTTCTCTTTCAAATAAATTAAAACATAATTAAATAAATTATCAAAATAAATTTTGAATTTTATTAAAACATAATTAAATAAATCATCAAAATAAATTTTGGATTTTATTTTTCTCTTTCAAATAAATTAAAATATAATTAAATAAATTATCAAAATAAATAAGTCTAACCAAGTGTATTTTTTGAATTTTTTAAAAAAAATGTGTAAAAAAGTAGAGAAGGTGGGTAAAAAAATAGAAAGGATATGTTGATAAATGTTGATTGATGGGACCTAAATAAGTGTATATATGTAAAAAAAAAATACTTGCTAAGATACGGGAGAGGAAAATAAGAGATTTTAATCAAGTAAAGTGCATCAAGAGGGAGGATTCTAAGGTATTGGTGAAGGATGATGAGATTAAGGAAAGATGGAAGAATTATTTTGAGAAACTATTAAATGAGGGACATGGAGGTACGACAATAAGGGAAGAAATAGGTAGTAATACGATAAACCAAGACTATAGGTTCTATCGCAGGATTAGGAACTTTGAAGTGAAAATTGCACTTAAGAAGATGAAATCAAATAAGGCTTTAGGACCCGATGATATCCCTATTGAAGCTTAAAAGTGTTTGGGTAAAAAAGGAGTTGGTTGGTTGACTGGGTTGTTTAGCAAAATTTTGTTGACTAGGAACATGCCAGATGAGTGGAGGAAGAGTATTTTAGTGCCAATCTATAAGAATAAAGGTGATGTCCAGAATTGTAACAACTATAGAGGAATTAAGCTAATGTGTCATATAATGAAAGCAATCTATAAGAATAAAGGTGATGTCCAGAATTGTAACAACTATAGAGGAATCAAGCTAATGTGTCGTATAATGAAAGTGTGGGAGAGGGTGATAGAACGCCGATTGCGAGATATAACAGAGGTGTCAGAGAATCAATTTGGGTTTATGCCTGGTAGGTCAACAATGGAAGCGATCTATCTTTTGAGGAGAGTAATAGAAAAGTACAAAGAAAAGAAAAGAGACATTCATATGGTGTTTATCGACATTGAGAAAGCATATGACAGAGTGCATCGGGATATAATATGGTGGGTATTAGAGAAGAAAGGGGTGACAAAAGGTTACATTGACGTGATTAGGGACATGTATGAAGGGGTGGTGACCACTATTAAATCGCCAGCTGGAGAGACAAATGAATTTCCTATCACTGTAGGGTTACACCAAGGATCTACCTTAAGTCCTTATCTTTTTGCTTTAGTTATGGACGAGTTGACGATAAATATTCAGGATGACGTGCCATGGTGCATGCTTTTTGCAGACGATATTGTGCTAGTGGATGAGACTAGAGAAGAAGTTAACACAAAGTTAAAGATTTGGAGAAAAGCTCTTGAATCTAAAGGATTCTGGATAAGCAGAACTAAGACAGAATACATGGAGTGTAAATTTAGTAACAATAACAATGAAAGTAGAGGAGAAGTGAAGATTGAGAATCAAGAATTGCCTAAGAGTGAACACTTTCGTTATCTAGGGTTGATTATCACAACAGCGGAAGAGATTAATGCAGATGTGGCCTATAGGATTAAGGCGGGATGGTGTAAGTGGAGAAGTGCGTCTAGGGTATTGTGCGATAAACGAATACCCACTAGACTAAAAGGTAAGTTTTATAGATAGACTATTAGACCAGCTATGTTATATGGGACGGAGTGTTGGGCAACCAAGAAACAACATGTAGATAAGATAAGTATGGCTGAGATGAGGATGCTAAGGTGGATGTGTGGTAAGACTAGATAAGACAGGATTAAGAATGAGTGTATTCGGGAATGGGTAGGAGTAGCACCGATAGAAGATAAGTTGAGAGAGAATCGTTTGAGGTGGTTTGGTCATATTCAACGGAGATCAACAGAGGCAGTAGTGAAGAGATGCGATACTGTAACGGTAGATTGAAGTGTTAGGAGACGGGGTAGGCCTAGATTAACGTTGACTAGCGTTTTAAATAGAGATATGAATCTACTTAATTTGACTAATGAAATGGCCTTTGATAGGGCCGCGTGGAGAAGAAGGATTCATGTAGCCGACCTCATTTGATGGGACTTAAGGCTTGGTTTGATTTGGTTTGGTTTATGTAAAAAAAATACATTTTTTTAGTACATGCCAAACACCTACTAAATAAGAGGTGTAACTCGAGCAAATTATATCAAGCTGAGAAATTGTCCAAATCTAGCTAGGGTTTATTTCTTAGCTCTAGATCCCTACGCAAACAACTACGATATAGACCACTAGTAGAGCTGTTCTAAAAACAACTCTATTGAGCTGGCATGCCCCCCTCTCTCCCCGAAAAAAAAAAGAGAAAAAAAGACAAAACATAAAGAGAAAAAAAGATAATTTAATGCTCTTTTAGTACTCCTTTTTTTAGTGCTCTAAACCATGAGTTATTTAGGCCTGTCAAAGTTCGAATTATAATTAAAAGTTATATGCCTAATCCCTTCCCGAGATAGGCCCAATTTGTTCGAATTGCTTGAAATGTACATAATTTTTTTTTGTGCAACTAGATTAATTAATTTGTTAAAATTATATTCTATTAATATTTTTTATAAAATTATTAATAGCATTAAAACAATTAATCTATATATTGTGAGATAACTGAAGAGAATAGAGAAAACATAACGTGGTTTTTTTAATTTTTGAGTGATAAAATAAAATAGTAAGACTTTGTGTTAGATTAATTGTGTATATAATATGTGTATATATGTTGGAAAACATTATCCAAATAGCTAACAATTTATATGTATATAATATTGTACTCAAATTCTATAAATAAATAAAAAACTAAACTCGGGTCGTTGATATTTAGCCCGACCTTTAGGAATTGGAAGGGCCGAGGCCAACTATAAAACTAGAAAGTACACAGCCTTTCCGTCAGTTATTCTCCTACTTTTGTTCTTCAAAAATCAATTCGCAATTTTCAACACCGACTAGGCCAAAGAGGAAAAACGCCATTGCCACACGACTCCTCTCTCTCTCTCTCTCTCATGTCACATTAGGATAAATTATAAATACCTATTTTGAGATTTGTTTAGAGTGTAAATTATTTTTTTATAATTTTAAAAATTATAAATATCTTTTTATTAGATTTTTTTATTTAATAAAATTAATTAAAAAAATAAAATTTATAATTACTCTCTAATACAATAATAAAATTATCTAAATTATTAATTAAAACATATTTATAATATCATTAAAAACTGTTAATTGAATTTCATGATTTATTAATAATATGAACAACTTGTTGCAAAATTAGAAATTTTAAGTGCTGAAATTTAATTTCTAAAACTAGAGAGAGTGATTCATATTTTAATCAAATTTTATATTTATAATTTATCTAATATTTTAATCAAAAAATTATCATAAATTATCATATTACTCTTTCTATTTTTTTTATTTTTTATTTTTATACATCTCTAAAATAGTTTTTTTTTTTTTTTTTTTTTTTTAAAAGAGTGTTATCATATTACTCTCTCTATTTTGTTAATTTTTTTATTTTATTTTTATACATCTCTAAAATAGTTTTTTTTTTTTTTTTTTTTTTCAAACGAGAGTTGGTCCTAGATTTATTCATTTATTTATTGTAAGAAATCGAAATACTCTCATGTCCTCAATCCCCTTCAATCTCTCTCTAATCTTCTCAGATTTCGACGCTTATTCTATTCAATTTAATCGAAACAGAGCTTCAAAAATCCGAGACCTAAATGGGAATTCCATCGACGATGAGGGACGCTTGGGCAAACCGAACAAATTCGCATTTGATTGCTTCACCCGCTGAGGATCAGAAGATTCTGAATTCACGCCGTTGCACTCAAGGTCTGTTTCTGACTAGTTTTTGAGTGTTTGGTTGATGAGAAAATCGGAAATTATGTATGGTTCATGGGTTTAATTTGACCAATGCTATTATTTGTTATAGATCATGGGTTGATATTGAATGGTGTTTCTGGAATTTGCAGAGGGTGTTCGAGCAGGAGTGAAGGCAGCTTCCATTGCTTGTGTTGCCAGTGCTGTGCCTACTGTATGTGATCTTTATCACTACTTTCTGTATTCACTGTGTATACAATTTCTGGATTTATTTGGGACATTTTACTGGTTTATCAGTACACTTTCAATGTGGGTATTTGGCATTCATAACTGTTCAATAACAAGATTGATTCACATAAAAACCACCAAATCGGTAGGTATCATTTCAGATAGAAAACAATCACTTGCTTTAGGGGGGCCAAGCGAGAATTTTTGTTGAGAGAGGCAAAGTTATAACTTATACTCAACTTTTTCCTATTTGACAATCTCATGTTCATTATCTTAAACGAAGAAAATCCCAAATATATGTGGCCAATGTGGAAATTCCGGAGGAGCAAGAACAAAATTTCATTCGGGCAAATCAAAAATAAGTTTGAAACTATCGATAGAAATAATATTTGGACTTTTAGTGGGGATAAATTAATGATTAAAAAAAAAACTATAGGCAAAAATGATATTTTCAAATTTTTAGTGGGGGAACTTTTGTTTTTAAAACCGTAGATAAAAAACTCATTTCCCCAAAGCACAGGGGCAATTGCCTCCACTTGCCTTATAATGTGTTAATGTAAATTGTGTAAATGTAAATTACCACTACCACTCACTCCACCTACCACCTCCACTTCACTCCACCTACCACCTACACCTACTACCACATTCTCTTCTATATATAGGAATTGTAAACATCAATCAATACAATCAATCAATAATATATACAATTTATCTCTATCAATATATTTTTTACATGGTATCAGAGCAAGGTTGAGAACCTAGTATTTTCGCTTCACCGGCGGGCGGCAGCCTCGCCTTGGCTGCCCGCCGGACCTCTCAACTCTCAACAATGGCAACAACCCTCACTTCTTATCTCTCCTCCAAGCCCAAGACCCAAAATTGGATCTGACCCAAAATTGGATCTAACCATCATGCAGTTTCTGATGTCCAGCCATCATCGCCGCTTCTCTCAACTGAGCTCTCATTTCATCTCCTTCCTTGGACACCATAGCTAGTTTCAGAGCCTTAGCTATGTCGTCTCTGCTAAACGACCCATCTTCACTTCTCTCCGCTTCAATCGCCAAACCCTTTTCAACCATCAACCTCGCATTCAAACCCTGATCGATTATCAATGGAAGAACCACCATCGAGTGTCCAAATTGCAGTGTTTCAATCACCGATCCCCAACCTGCGTGAAACAGAGACCCTCCGATTGATGGGTGTTCCAGAATCTCTCTCTGCGGTGCCCGTCCGAAGCTCACTCTCCCTCTCTCCAATGTCCGATCAGTGAATTCAATCGGCACAGAATCGAGATCTTCAATTGCCCAAGTGGGTTTTCTCAGAGCCCACAAAAATGGAAGCTCCGATTTCTCAAGCCCATGAGCGATCTCGTGAATTTCTTCTTTGTTGAGTTTACACTCACTCCCAAACCCAACAAAAAGAACCGATCTGGGTTTCTGATAATCAAGCCATTTGAAGATTTGAGTCCAATTCTCATCTCTGGTTTGTTTTTGAGCTTTATTCGATTTTAATCAAATTTTATATTTATAATTTAGCTAATATTTTAATAAAAAATTAAAAAATTATCATAAATTATCATATTACTCTCTCTATTTTGTTAATTTTTTTATTTTATTTTTATACATCTCTAAAATAGGTTTTTTTTTTTTTTTTTTTTTTCAAACGAGAGTTGGTCCTAGATTTATTCATTTATTTATTGTAAGAAATCGAAATACTCTCATGTCCTCAATCCCCTTCAATCTCTCTCTAATCTTCTCAGATTTCGACGCTTATTCTATTCAATTTAATCGAAACAGAGCTTCAAAAATCCGAGACCGAAATGGGAATTCCATCGACGATGAGGGACGCTTGGGCAAACCGAAGAAATTCGCATTTGATTGCTTCACCCGCTGAGGATCAGAAGATTCTGAATTCACGCCGTTGCACTCAAGGTCTGTTTCTGACTAGTTTTTGAGTGTTTGGTTGATGAGAAAATCGGAAATTATGTATGGTTCATGGGTTTAATTTGACCAATGCTATTATTTGTTATAGATCATGGGTTGATATTGAATGGTGTTTCTGGAATTTGCAGAGGGTGTTCGAGCAGGAGTGAAGGCAGCTTCCATTGCTTGTGTTGCCAGTGCTGTGCCTACTGTATGTGATCTTTATCACTACTTTCTGTATTCACTGTGTATACAATTTCTGGATTTATTTGGGACATTTTACTGGTTTATCAGTACACTTTCAATGTGGGTATTTGGCGTTCATAACTGTTCAATAACAAGATTGATTCACATAAAAACCACCAAATCGGTAGGTATCATTTCAGATAGAAAACAATCACTTGCTTTAGGGGGGCCAAGCGAGAATTTTTGTTGAGAGAGGCAAAGTTATAACTTATACTCAACTTTTTCCTATTTGACAATCTCATGTTCATTATCTTAAGCGAAGAAAATCCCAAATATATGTGGCCAATGTGGAAATTCCGGAGGAGCAAGAACAAAATTTCATACGGGCAAATCAAAAATAAGTTTGAAACTATCGATAGAAATAATATTTGGACTTTTAGTGGGGATAAATTAATGATTAAAAAAAAAAAAACTATAGGCAAAAATGATATTTTCAAATTTTTAGTGGGGGAACTTTTGTTTTTAAAACCGTAGATAAAAAACTCATTTCCCCAAAGCACAGGGGCAATTGCCTCCACTTGCCTTATAATGCCTCTGCTCATGCTTGGCTAGGGGGTCATAGTCATTGAAGAGAATTGCAGAAGAACTAGGGCGGTGTTTGATTCGCTAGAATGAAGGTTGGTATGAAATGGTCACTCCATCGAAATACCCATTCCTAAATTTGGTTCAGTAGAAATGAAAGAATGTACATCCCAACGGAATCACAATTCACCAATTTAGAAAAATGGTCATTCCGTTGAGCATGTCCAATGGAGTTGGTATAATTGTTGCTATTGCTAAATTATAGCAACTTTGCGAAAAAAGCAAGCTCTTGTGAGAGCATCTTCAATGCTAAAATGCTAAAATAGGTAGTCAAAGTTAAATTTTGGCAATGCAATAGTATGAAAATTTCAAATTTTAGCAATGTTGCTCCAACGGTGCACTAGCTATTTGTTCTATTTTCTTTAGAAAAATCAAATCAAAATGTTATTTGTGGGTCCCATTAAGAAAGAGAAAAAATGCGCTCTAGGTAAAATTTGACATTTTGCCAAACCTTGTGTCAAATTTGGTACAAAATTTAGCAATGCTATATTTTGACAACCCTTTTAGCATGTCATTGGTGCTTGTTTTCTTTGTTCAAGTTGCTATAATTTAGCAATAACAATCACTATAGAACCTCCACTCACCAAATGGGTTGCCAAACTTTGTACTAAATTTGGTACAAGATTTGACAAAATGCCAAATTTAGCAAGAGCTCAGTTTTCTCTTTCATAACGGGACCGTAGTTGTCAAATCGAGAATCATATCGTGAATCGAAATCTTAATTTTGCAAATCGTGAATCGAATCGAGAATCATTAAGATTCGGTACAACAAACTATAATAAATGATATCAAACATTCTATATATGAAAAAGAAATGAAATAAATTGATTTTGGCACATGTTATAAAATAATTCTCGTTTAAGGACATGTTTACACCACCCAATTGGGAAGGCATTTCCTTCGTAGCAAGAGACCTAGGTCCAAATCCCAACAACCATAAAAATTATTCAAAATCCGCAATCTAATTTTTCTTAACATTCAAAAAATGGCGTGAGAACTCTATATAGAGTATAATAAGAAGAACGATTAGGTGAAATTCTTTATTTTAAAACGTAAAACACTTTAAGAGGTATATATGTTTGTTGTTCAAAAAAAGTTTTAAAATAAAATAATTTTGTGAAACCATCCAGTTTGACTGACTTAACCATGTAATATTGAATTACATTTATTTCACTAAATAGCAATAGATAATTTATAAGTGCAAGTTATTTTAACCTTAAACATCCTTAAAAGATATGCTATGATATTCTTTTTAAGGAAAAAAGACTTTAAGGACATCGTGGCTTTGACTGAATCTGTTTGAATCCTTTTAAAAACCTCTAATCACCAAAATAATAACAAATCATGCATATGTATTAATTGTTTTCATATCAAAACACTCTTAGAAGTTGTATTATGTCATTTTTATTACTATAAAAAAAAGAGTTAAAAATGGTAGAAAATTATCTAACACGATAGTTTTAAGAATTGTAAAAAGTGAATCAAATCGTAAATCGATTGTGAATTATATGATTTACCATAAATTCTATCTCCAAATAGATTTACCTATAGATTCATATTGATCTATGCATGAATCGCAAATTGAATTGTAAATTGAATAGTGAATTGTAACATTTTGGTAACAGAGAATGGGACCCACAAATAGCATTTTGATTTGATATTTTGTAAAGAAAATAAAAGAATGGCTAGTGCATTGCTAGAGTAATATTGCTAAAATTTAGCATTTCTACATTGTAGCAATGCAAAAATTTGGCTTTGACTAAATTTTTGCTATGTTGCTCCATTGGTGCACTAACCATTTCTTCTATTTTCTTTACAAAAGGTAAAATCAAAATGTCATTTGTGGGTCCCATTATGGAAGAGAAAGGGGGAGGTGCTTTAGCTAAAATTTGGTATTTTGCCAAATCTTGTGCCAAATTTGACACAAAGTTTGGCAATGCCATATTTCGGCAACCCGTTTGGCATGCCATTGGAGGTTGATTTTGGGTGAAGTTGCTATAATATAGCAACTCCATTGGAGTTGTCTAAGGAATAGTCATTACATTCCTGCCCAAAATCATTCCAACGAACCATAACATCACCTAGCTGTGCAGAGCAAGGGAATGTAGTTTACTGTTGCTTAGTGTTACAGTTTTAGGATGTTCCTTTCATCCTATATCAAGTGGAGTTTTGTTGAATGTTACACTAACTTAGTTTCGTTATTTCACACCCTACATAAAAACATATATTAAATATATCACCATGTACTTGTATGGAGATATATATTTACATTTTATGTACTATTGTATATCTTGAAAACAAAGAACGGGGCTCTTTGACAACTCTATCAACCTCTGGAAACTGTAAACTTAAGCAGTTCCTCCTTTACGCATGCCTGATAAATGCCAACAGTTGGTTTATTATTGCTCTAAATTGTTTCGTAACCTTGACCAGATAACTTATGACAGGAAAGCTTTGAAGTGTTCCCATTTCTGAATGTGGAAACTGTTGAAAAGCTTGATATAGATTGTTGGGCCTATTTCCTAATAGCTTGGGCTTTTGGGAAAATTGATAACTTAACATGGTATCAAAGCAATGGTTGAAAGAGGTCTTGGGTCCAAGTTTCAGTATTGACATTTTGTTTCAGTCCCCGTTTGATATCTTCTTTTCTATTTGGTTGTCTGCTTCTCCTTCAGCTTGGTTCTCTGTTTGTCTCTCCACATGCAAGACGAGGTTGCACACGAGGGAGGGTGTTGAATAGCTTGATATATATTGTTGGGCCCATTTCCTAATAGCTTAGGTTTTTGGGAAAATTTATAACTTAACAGAAATCACAAGGATTGGTACATTCAGTTGATGATAGCTTGGTTTTTTATTAATTTTCTTTTCCTTTCTTTTTTTCACTGAATGAACATTTTCTATATGTGGATAAATCTATGCCTGTCAGATTCACAGTTGTTCTAAAATTCCAACGAACCATAACATCACCTAGCTGTGCAGAGCAAGGGAATGTAGTTTACTGTTGCTTAGTGTTACAGTTTTAGGATGTTCCTTTCATCCTATATCAAGTGGAGTTTTGTTGAATGTTACACTAACTTAGTTTCGTTATTTCACACCCTACATAAAAACATATATTAAATATATCACCATGTACTTGTATGGAGATATATATTTACATTTTATGTACTATTGTATATCTTGAAAACAAAGAACGGGGCTCTTTGACAACTCTATCAACCTCTGGAAACTGTAAACTTAAGCAGTTCCTCCTTTACGCATGCCTGATAAATGCCAACAGTTGGTTTATTATTGCTCTAAATTGTTTCGTAACCTTGACCAGATAACTTATGACAGGAAAGCTTTGAAGTGTTCCCATTTCTGAATGTGGAAACTGTTGAAAAGCTTGATATAGATTGTTGGGCCTATTTCCTAATAGCTTGGGCTTTTGGGAAAATTGATAACTTAACATGGTATCAAAGCAATGGTTGAAAGAGGTCTTGGGTCCAAGTTTCAGTATTGACATTTTGTTTCAGTCCCCGTTTGATATCTTCTTTTCTATTTGGTTGTCTGCTTCTCCTTCAGCTTGGTTCTCTGTTTGTCTCTCCACATGCAAGACGAGGTTGCACACGAGGGAGGGTGTTGAATAGCTTGATATATATTGTTGGGCCCATTTCCTAATAGCTTAGGTTTTTGGGAAAATTTATAACTTAACAGAAATCACAAGGATTGGTACATTCAGTTGATGATAGCTTGGTTTTTTATTAATTTTCTTTTCCTTTCTTTTTTTCACTGAATGAACATTTTCTATATGTGGATAAATCTATGCCTGTCAGATTCACAGTTGTTCTAAAATTCCAACGAACCATAACATCACCTAGCTGTGCAGAGCAAGGGAATGTAGTTTACTGTTGCTTAGTGTTACAGTTTTAGGATGTTCCTTTCATCCTATATCAAGTGGAGTTTTGTTGAATGTTACACTAACTTAGTTTCGTTATTTCACACCCTACATAAAAACATATATTAAATATATCACCATGTACTTGTATGGAGATATATATTTACATTTTATGTACTATTGTATATCTTGAAAACAAAGAACGGGGCTCTTTGACAACTCTATCAACCTCTGGAAACTGTAAACTTAAGCAGTTCCTCCTTTACGCATGCCTGATAAATGCCAACAGTTGGTTTATTATTGCTCTAAATTGTTTCGTAACCTTGACCAGATAACTTATGACAGGAAAGCTTTGAAGTGTTCCCATTTCTGAATGTGGAAACTGTTGAAAAGCTTGATATAGATTGTTGGGCCTATTTCCTAATAGCTTGGGCTTTTGGGAAAATTGATAACTTAACATGGTATCAAAGCAATGGTTGAAAGAGGTCTTGGGTCCAAGTTTCAGTATTGACATTTTGTTTCAGTCCCCGTTTGATATCTTCTTTTCTATTTGGTTGTCTGCTTCTCCTTCAGCTTGGTTCTCTGTTTGTCTCTCCACATGCAAGACGAGGTTGCACACGAGGGAGGGTGTTGAATAGCTTGATATATATTGTTGGGCCCATTTCCTAATAGCTTAGGTTTTTGGGAAAATTTATAACTTAACAGAAATCACAAGGATTGGTACATTCAGTTGATGATAGCTTGGTTTTTTATTAATTTTCTTTTCCTTTCTTTTTTTCACTGAATGAACATTTTCTATATGTGGATAAATCTATGCCTGTCAGATTCACAGTTGTTCTAAAATTCCAACGAACCATAACATCACCTAGCTGTGCAGAGCAAGGGAATGTAGTTTACTGTTGCTTAGTGTTACAGTTTTAGGATGTTCCTTTCATCCTATATCAAGTGGAGTTTTG